ATGTCCCCACCTCCCACCATTTTTTGGTGGTGGTGCAGAGCCAGGAAATTTTCTTTTTAAGTTAAATAAGAATTGTATAATGTATTTTATATTTACAATACTCATGTTTTCCTTTAGTCATTTAGACATGTTTTCCTTTAGTCTTTGAACACATTTGAAGTGCTGATTTAAAGTTTTGTTTAGTAAGACCATGCCCAGACTTCCTTGGGGCCAGTTTCAACTGTTTGCTTTTGCTCCTGTGTGTAGGCTTGCTCCTGTGTGTAGGCTTGCTCCTGTGTGTAGGCTTGCTCCTGTGTGTAGGCTTGCTCCTGTGTGTAGGCTTGCTCCTGTGTGTAGGCTTGCTCCTGTGTGTAGGCATACTCTATTACATTTTTACATGTCTTGGCTCTTTTTTGTTATTGAAAACTAGACTTTTCTCTCTTTTTTTTATATGTATTATGTGTGTGCATACAGGTATTCATTTGCTGAAGTGCTAATACAGAGGTCACAGAACAACTTCTGTGAGTTGGTTCTCTCATCCCACCATGTGGGTGTTCCAGGAATGGAAGTAAGAGTCTTAGGGAACAGGTACATTTACCCACTAAGCCATCTCCCCAGCTCCCAAACCAGACACTTGATATGATGGAGGAAATCAAAGTTTGTTGTTATTGCTGCTGAATAAAATACTCTAAGCATAGCACAGGACTTGAGCTAAGGGCCTTCAAGCCCAAAGTTCTTCAGAGAGGACTTCCTGCATGTCGATGTGGAACTCATCTCAGAAAAGCCAATGGTTTGAGGCCCCAGTACATTTTGATAATGAGATAATGATGCCCTTTAAGGGTCCCAAAATACCATAAGCTCTGCTCCTACCCCAAGGTCCTGCAATCTACAGCTTTGGGCTTATTTCCTCAGACTCGCTAGAGCATGTTGAGCTACAGATGTCAAGTGCAGGGACCCTAGTCCAGACCTGGGCAACCTTCTCTGGAGACCTGGCTGGGCAAATTAAAACAATTTCTAGCCTCTTAATACAAGAAGGTCACGATCAGATAAAACAAGGATGATGGCAAACCTGCTGCAAGCTGGAGTGATCAGTGCTGGATGTTCCCTGGGAGAGGGATTAGCTCGGGGTGTGAGAGGTGCCTGTGCTGGGTAAGGAGCTCCAAAAGAAGCCAGGAGGAGGGACTGATGGTCAAAAGAGAGCTCTGCCAGGAAGTGGCACACCACCTAGGAGGCTCCTGTTCCTTTCCTGCTGAATTTAGGGTTGGCAGTAAGGTGAAGACAGAAGGGTTCTGCCCTAGGTTCCTCCTGCCATTTCCAGACAGTTCTTCCGAGGGGAACAGAAAGACAAGGCTAAGGCCCTGGAGACCCTCTTACCCCCCAAGCTGTTCCAAGCTGTCCATGTGCACAAGAAGCACCTGTGAAATGGCTACTTGGGTATAGTGTTGTGACAAGAGTATTGGCTTTGCCAGTTAACCACTGTGGTGAGTTAGCTGAGTTATTAAGGTTCCTTGAGCCTTAGTTTCTATATTTGTCAAAGAGGATATTAGCATTTGGCTTGCAGGACTGTAGTAGAGAATGAGATTGTGTTTTTATAGAGTGTGCCACACATACCTGGTAATTACTAAGTACTTTTCTGGTTCATCATGTTGACAGCCTTGGAAAAGGAGGAAAAATAAACCACTTCCTCACTGCATGTAACCTTTGTCTACAGCCTTCTCCATCTTCATCTTCCTGAGAGCCTGGCTTAGGGTCCTTATTGTAAGTAGTCCTAGCACCTATATCTTCCTGCCTCATTGATATTTGATAACTAGAGACTTAGCTGTATGGTTGCTTGATTAATCTCTGTCTCCTGGAGTGACTTTTAAAAAATACATGCTTTTTAAAAGCTCTTCTTTTAGAAACTTAAATTTTCAGTGTGTGTGTGTGTGAGAGAGAGAGAGGGGGGGGCAGAGAGGGGGGAAGAAGTTTGAGGACAACATGCAGGAGTTGGTTCCCAGGGATCCAGTGTAGACTGTCAGCTTTAGCAGAAAATGCCTTTACCCACTGAACCGTCTCACTAACCCACATCTTGGCTTTCTTTATAGTTCAGTTTTCCCTTAAAAGGAATAAGTTGTGTATAGATGGATTCAATGCCTTGCACGCAAGAAAGACTGAAGAAGTGACTTGTTCATCACTATCCCCTTCATCTCACCCCACTTCCCTCTTCTTACTGTTTCCAGCAAGGATGCTTGAGGATGCTCTTTTCTGCAGCATCAGGTTTTAGTCTACAGTATTCTGCGCTGTGTTTTTCCTTCGGCTCGGCAGCCTTCTGTTCAGGAGGCTTCTTGTCATCAGAGGAGAGTTCTTCCACGTCTCTCCAGCTCTTCTGTTCAGGAGGCTTCTTGTCATCAGAGACAGAGTTCTTCCACGTCTCTCCAGCTCTTCTGTTCAGGAGACTTCTTGTCATCAGAGACAGAGTTCTTCCACGTCTCTCCAGCTCTTCTGTTCAGGAGGCTTCTTGTCATCAGAGACAGAGTTCTTCCACGTCTCTCCAGCTCTTCTGTTCAGGAGGCTTCTTGTCATCAGAGCAGAGTTCTTCCACGTCTCTCCAGCTCTTCTGTTCAGGAGGCTTCTTGTCATCAGAGACAGAGTTCTTCCACGTCTCTCCAGCTCTTCTGTTCAGGAGGCTTCTTGTCATCAGAGCAGAGTTCTTCCACGTCTCTCCAGCTCTTCTGTTCAGGAGGCTTCTTGTCATCAGAGACAGAGTTCTTCCACGTCTCTCCAGCTCTTCTGTTCAGGAGGCTTCTTGTCATCAGAGCAGAGTTCTTCCACGTCTCTCCAGCTCTTTGCAGCAGCATCACCAACAGATGGGCTGGGGTGTTCGTTCATTTCAGAATTGGACTCAGAACAGAAAAGAAGAAGGCTGAAGGAGGAGGCTCCTTGAATATATTGGGATCCTTAAACTTTTTCTTTTTGCGATACTGGAGACCAAACCCAGGACCTTGTGCATGCTAGGCAGGTGTTTTACCACTAACTTACAACCTTAGCCTTCCCATGTAGGGGGATATAGGTCCCCCATCTCTCCCCTCTCTCCCTCCCTCCCTTCTTCTTATCCCCCTCCTCTCTCTCTCTTTCTCCCTCTCTTTCCTACTTCCCTTCTCCCCTCTCTCGTCAATGTTTTGAACTCACTAATAGAACCTAGGCTGGCCTTGAGCTTGTGCTCCTCCTCATCGGATTCCCCAGCGCTGGGATTACAGGCATGTGTCCCCATTCCCAGATCCAGTTTTCACGTCTCTTTCCCAGTGACCTTTGCTATGTCTTCAGACCTTTCCTGTCTTTGGAGGACATGGCTCACACACTGGTGACAAAGCATGGGGCGTTTCTTCTTGCACTCCCCCTGGCAACTTTGCATTGTGACATTTTGCCCTTGCTTTGTAGGGTCCCTTGTCTGTGTTGCTTCTTCATCGAGAAGGCACTGAGCCCACTCCTGCCTTACAGCGCTGTCTCCACGGAACTTAGTGTGTCCTGCAGTGGTGTCATCCATAACCCCTTCTGACTTCCCGTCATGGAGCCGAGAGTCAGAGTTCCAGACAGAGCCATGGGGGTCAGCCTGTGGGATTGTGTGTGCTCTGTGGCATCTGGGGGTGGGGGGAGCCAGCCACTCTGTGTTCAGTAGCTGGCATGAGCGACTCTGCTCCCTCAGCAGTCCCAGCATCCAGGACAGCAGAGTCTGGTCACCCCCAACCCCCAAGAAACTGAAAAGGAAAACCAAGGAACAAATGTGCTACACTGGCACAGGGGCCCACCCTCTGGAAATAGGGATTTTCCTCCAGACCTGCACGGTCACTGCCCACCGCCACTGACTTCAGAACCTGTATAAGGGGTCATGGGACACCCACCATTGTCCCCTCTACCCCCTTGCTGAGGCCCACAGTCTGCAAGAGGTTAACCTCAGGTTTCTTCCTGGTTGCTTCTGATTCACTTTCCTGTCTCTGGCCGGATAGAGGTTTAGAGGTTTGGCTGGGCCCTGCTAGGCAGATCTCTAAGCCAGAGTTCCTGACCCTGCCTGTGAAACAGCAATAGCCACAATGAAGGACATCTTACCCTCTAGCATTCTACTTGGTCCCGCCCTCCAGCCATAAATCTTGAGTTACACAACATAAGACTACTCATTTCCACCAGTAGAACCCCAGCTCTGCCACATAACTGGGTGAACAGCCAGGCCCTGATGACCCAGTATGTGCCCAGCAGGTCACACTTAAGTCAGAGGTGTCTTAATAATTCTGGCACCCGGTGCCTGAGCCTCACCCTGAGATTCTGGTTGTGTTGATATAGGGCAGGGCTTGAATATCAGGATTTTGGAAACAACCCACATGATTCTGCATTAAGGCAGGGTTGAGCACCTCTCTTCTAAAACTTTCTTACACTGCCGGCAACAGGAAGGCCCCTGTTGCCTCAGTTTTGCCAAGCGGGTGGCTATTTGTGCCCACCGGGACCTTCGCTTGCTCTGGTCTGTCCTGTAGACCTCTCTCCGTGGAAGTCCACATCTTTGGGTTTCCTTCCACTTCTAGTAAGAACAGGTCTGAGGCTTTGCACACAAACTGCAGGTTCCCTCTGTGCTAGGCTTGTCCACTTTCCAGCCTGCAGCATCTACATACCTCAGCACCCCACTGGACCTGCCAATTCTCTCTCCCTTGGACAGCAGGGATCAGTGGTCCAGGAGATTCCTCCTTGCAGACCCCTTGGGCCCTTGGAAAGAGCCCAACCAGTCATTTTCCCAGGCTGGGCTGGGCTTGAGGCGGCAGGGTGGGGGGTAGTAGCCAGGCCTGAGGTTTGGCTGCTTTCTGCCCTTTTCCTATTAAACAGATATGCAGATGAACTTTGGACACCAATAATACAGAAGGTTTTAGTAACAAGACAGAAATCCTTCTCCATGCACCTTGGGAAAATCTCAGAGTGGAGGTTCACCCAGCAGTTGCTCCCCTCCCCGCTGCTGTTGCCACCCACACCCCAGAAGCAACTTTTCCCATGACTCACACGTGGCAGCTTGTGCACTTCTTTTATTATTAAATATAAAAGCAGCTTCCTATTTTTTAAATAGATATTTAAATGACCTTATATAAAATAATTCACTTCCAAGTATAAAAAAAAATGCAATCTCACAGTCTGTGAGCCGATGTTCTCTCCGGGCTCTCTTAGAGGAAAGAAGGGGTTCCCGTGCAGCGGAGGCTCCAAAGGAGGGTTTGGAGCTCCTCCTGCTCCGATGGAACCAGGTGCCCACAAAGAGCTTCTTGCAATGGGTTGGATTTGCTCTTCTGTTTTTAATAATACATGTTTAAGGTAGAGGGGTAGGAGAATGCCTTTTTTTTTCTGTGTTTTTCCTTCTATTTTAAAATATGTATTTTTCTAGCATGGAAATAGTCTGTAACTAGAAGGCTAAGTAAGCCCCACAAGAAAGTCTCCAGTGTCCTTCCCTCTGCTGTCTCAGGACAGGGTGGTGGGGCCTACGGAACACCCCTCCCACCTTGCCTGAAAGGTTACGGACCCAGTAGCCAAGGAGGGCAGGAAAGGGGGACACAGCAGCATAAAGAGACCAAGGGCAAGTGAGAGCCCTGCCACCCGTGCCCAGGCCTCAGAGCCACAGACAAGGCCTGGCCCAGGGAACAGGGTCACACAGCAGAGCTGGAAGTAGACAGCCCCTTTCTTGATTACTCTCTAGAGCTGCCTGGCTTGGCTAGAGATGGCAGGGTGGGGTGGGTGAGACTGGGAGGGTGTCCCTGCCTACCTGGGTCAAGTCTGGAGAAAAAAGGCCTGAAGAGGGTGGGGCTGGAGCATGGAGCTCAGTCCCAGGAGCTCATGACAGGACAACCTGCCCAGCTCCAGGCTGGAAGCAATGGGCACGGAGGCTGGCTGACAGGTTAGAGTGTGGACATCAACTTTAACCTTGGGCACACACATATTTTCAAGACCTATTTCCATTCAGAGCTCTGCCTGTGGCCCTTCTGCCTCTGCCTCCCCTTCCTTTCTCCCTTCCACTAGTCACTTCCCTCCTGGGAATGTCAAAGTGCAAGATGCAGAAACCTGGGCAAGGAACACAGCCCAAAGACCAGCTCTGGCTGGTAGCCCAGGCAGCTGTCCCACAGCTCCACCCCGGCAATCAAAGGCTAGGCAGGGGAAGGTCGGGGCTTAGGTGCTCCCTCAGTCGATAGATGAGGCCAGCTCAGTGCAGGAAGCTGAGGAGAGGATGAAGAGGGTGGGAGAACATTCGGACGGATGGTCGCTCATGGGGATGGATGGGACAGGCTGTTCAGCAGGCAGGTTCAGTATTCACAGTGCAATGGCTTCCTTCATGAGGGGTGCCTCTGCTGGGCAAAAGAACTCTGGCAGGGGCTGTGGGTAGGAGGAGACGAGGCTAGAGCTTGGTCCTCCTCTTGGCATCATGAGCCAGGTCAGACAGGTCCTGAGGCAGGGCTGGTCTCCCCTCCTTCCTGGCTATCAGCTGAGGGCACTTAGGCAAGTGGAGGGTGTAGACCCCTTTAAGTTGTCAGCACAAGCAGCCAAAGGCCTCCTCTTCCCGTCTTTTAGGCTGCATGCCTTTATGCCTTTACGGGAAATCGGGCAGATGCTGTCCCGCCCTGTGAATCTCAGGCTTCCCTCTTGGGAAACAGGTCCCTGCCTGTCCTTGTTGGATTCCTTGGCACCAGTGAGTCTTCTGGGCACAGGCTCTTCTGCTCCTTCTTGTGTGCCCTGGTCTCTCATGTGCCATACAGGCAGGCAGGTCCCTTGCCAACTTCTGGCTTTGAGAGGAGGGTACAGCTCCTGAGGGAAAGGGTCCTGAGCTAGCTCGCTGGCCTTCCTCAAGTGCAGAGAGCCTCCAGGGCCCACAATAAATAGTAACAGTTTAGGAGGCATCCTCCAGCCCTCTCTCAGTTAGTTGAGAGTCTAAGGGTTAAAACAGAAAGACCCCCATCAAGGCTGCTCTTGTCCAGTCTTGGTAGGCAGGAGCTCTGGTAGTAGCAGGCCACGTTTCCAGGAAGATGGCAGGAGAGGGTGGTGGTGGACATTCCCATAATGTCTCCTTCCATAAAGAGATAGTCCTGTGTGCCCAGCTGTAGAGAAGAGAAGGGAAGAAGGCTGGTCAGCAATTGCGAGTGTGGGGAGGGTCGCTGAGGACATGGGGAAGGTTTGACATTCCTGTGGGCTGTTGGCCGGCTTCAGGCAAGACTTCCTCTGGTTCTTTCCCTGGCCTTTAGGCCACCCCAGACACCACAGAGAAACCAGGCAGCTTTGCCTGGCAGCAGTCCAAGCCTCTGGCCAGACTGGCCTCACCTCCTACCTCTCCTCCTGGGGGACCAGTAACCACAAAATGAGGGAATAGGACTGGAGGAAGTCTAGGCCAAGAGGTAGAGGGGTTATTGCTTAAGCATATGGGAGCAGGGAATAAGCTCTTGAGTGTTCCTCCTGGGCCCCTCTTCAGGTAAGGCCATCATCTCACTAGTCTTAGACCAATGAACTAAGGGTGATTTCTGCCAACTCTAACAAAGAATTTCTCATCGACATCTCCACACCATTCCTCAGAGGGGGTCTGCACAGAAGATATTGGGGCAAAGGCAAATGAATAGAAAGAACTTGGGCTTGAGGGACAGAGGCTAGAGGCAATGCCAGGAAAAGGGAGGTCTCACCCTGTCAACAGACATGCTCACCCTGAGTAGCCCAGCCTCCTCCCAGATGGGATAAGGGACTTGCCTCTTATCATCCATGGGAGCCAAGGCCCTGCCCTCTCCCCACCCCGCCCCCATCTTTGTCCCCTTGCCCAGCATCCTCAGAACGCTTTGTTCCACAGCAGAAATCCCCTGGACTCCGTCCAACAGTTTGACTTCGGACCCTCTGTGGTGCCTCCCGCTAATGTCCATGCCCCACTGGTCAAGCCTTGTTGGGTAAGGAAGGAAGATGAGAGACCTACAGCCTCTGGCTCCCAGCCCATTCCCATGCTCTGGAGAGGAAACAAGGGGGAGCTATAAACTGCACATGAGCCGTGCTGGTACAGCCAGGCCACAGGCTCTGCCAGGGCCATTAAGGAAGAAGGCCAGAGAGGGCATGCCCTAGCCTGTGACCCAGCTCCCAGCTCCCTGGGGCTGAGGGCCTGAGTTTTCTGCAGCTCTGTGTCCCTCCGTCAGTCTCCTCTTCTGTGTGTTCCACTTATCTCCCCAGAGTACCGCTCAATCTGGACACATGCACTCAGTTCCCATAGGCTCCTGGAGCCTGGCATTAGGGACCAATAGATCTGGACCCATTGAGCAAAATCTTGAAATCCTGAAGTGGGAAACTTGAAATCTTGAGCAGGTCTGAGAGTTAGGAGTCAGGAAAAGGACAATCGGAGTACAGAGAGCTCAGGGCAGAGGGCAAGTCCATACAGATGGCAGGGAGGAGGAAAACTGGTGGCCCTTGATAAGGTGACACAGCATTGAGCCCCAAAGTCCCCAGCAACCTTTACTCTCTGATTCAGTTCTGACGGGCTCTGGGTCCTCCTCTGAGCTGTTCAAATGAGCCAGCTAATTCATTTCACCCATCTCTATCCACCATACTGCCAAGTGTGACCCCAGGATTCTAGATATGGGTTGCTGCTTGCCTTTATTCAAATAAATTTCCCTGGTTCTGGGCATCTGTCAGATTTCCTGTCTGGAGAAGGGGTCTAGACTCATCATCCTATGCATGGGACAGTTTGCTCACGTGTGGCAATGGGTATAACTGGAGATTTGAATGGGTCACACAACTAGTTTGTCATCCAATCAGTCAGCAAATCAACTAAGCATTCTGCCAACCAGTTATCCAGTCAGCTCACCAATGAAGAACTAGTCAGTTAACAGTTACCAGCTAGTTGGTTGAGTAGTCAAGTCAGCCAACCAGCTGACAAGGTGAGTTGACCACTTAACTGGTTAATTGGTCAGTCAGAAGGCTGGTCAGTTAGAGAAATCTAGCCGGGGTTAGTTGGTAATTCAGACTTAAATCACCAGCCGGGCAGCATTTACTGAATTTTTGACAAGGATGGAGAGTCCCTGTCTGTACTTGAGTCCAGGATGATAAATGAAGTACAGAAAAAGTGGAAGATAGTTCCTGCCCTCTAGGGGCTTACAATCTTAGTAGTGCCAAAGTGTATATATACACATGAAATATGATTTTAAAATACATAAAAACAACATCCAAATGTGTGCAAATTGATATAGTATTAGCCATATACAAAAGAGCAGAAGGGATATGAATTAAAAGAACAACTAGAGGGATGTGGAGACTTCAGGAAGGAAAGCTTCCCGATAGGCTGGTGTGGGCAGGGTTCAGAGAGGAAGAATATAGGTCACATCTTCATCAACATTGTGGGCGTGGACAACAAATGACACTCATCAATATGCAGGGAACACAACCAGGAGTTCTAAAGCGACCAAATTAGGAGTTAAACACTCTCAGTAGGCTCAGGGCATGAGCAGAAAGCAATAGGTAGTTTTGACAAAGGTGAGCATAAACTACACTTTGGCTAAAAAGGTTAAGTTGTCCGAGTATGGAATGGTGAAGGTCTGCTGGATAGAGGCTCACGGGAAATAGAACTGGGGTTTTTAATAGACCACAAGCTCAACATATGACAATATATGATGCAGCTGTTAAAACTAATGTGATCTTAATCTGCACGAGTAGAAGAGTACTGTCCAGATCAAGGAAGGCAACAGTCCCACTGTACTCTGAGCTGGGCAGACAACATCTGGAGTACTGTGTCCAGGGCTGGGCGCCACATTTTCAGAGGGACATTGACAAACGAGTGTGTCCAGGATGGTGAGGGGTCTGAAAACCATATCATATAATGAATGTTTGAAGGGCTTGGCCACACTTAACACAGAGAATTCTTAAAGGGGACATGAACCTTAAATATCAGGCCTCATGGGATGAGTGGACTGGCTGGGGAAGGGGAGAAGGGGAGAAGGGAAGGCAGCATTGCCTGCATAAGGAAGGAATCCTGGGTATGCAGGTGGAACTGACATGCAGGGAACTTGCCTGGAACTGGGAATGTGTGACCAGAAGCTGGCTGACTCCCTGTTGGGGATGCAGAGTGGGCCCTTTTAGGCTGGGACACTGGGCCAAATAACCTCTTGACAGCTCTCCCAAGACTAAATCTCTATGGCACCATGATTCTAAAACAGGAAGGCAGCAATAACCTTAGCTGGGGAGCAGGACCAGATGAGACACAGTCTGGTGAGAAGTGGATGCTGAGAAGTTCAGGGCTCAGCACCAAGCTGGGAGTACTTGTGTTTAAAGGAGCTGGCGGCCATGCAGAGGCTAATGAAAATTCCCCAGGGTGGTAAAGACCTTGTAAAAGCCTTATTAGAGGAGGAGGAGGAATGTGGTTGCTTTGGGATTGAATGTGTCAACAGCAAGATAGAAACATAAAGCAGAGGTAGCAGTAACTAGTCTCCGTGGGGGAGGGGATGCAGGAGCAAGGGGAGACCTGAGGCCTGGAAGGGAGGGGCCTAGCTAGAATGAATGAAAATGAGAGTGGGATAGAGGAGAGGAAGTCAAATGTGAGGGCCTCCTGGGAGTTGGTGGCTTCTGCAACAGGGGGAGGGTGACTGCAGATAGTTCTTTTTAAGGAATAGAGAGATGTCAAAATCAGAGCCTTACCTTGGAACCCTTTCTATACTGGCAGTTCCACCTGTCTGTCCTCATCCTGGGTCAGGGGGCTGCAGGCAGAACACAGGGCTGACGTAAGACTTTGGCAGGAGCATGGGACTGAGGGGACTTCCTAGCTTATCCCAAACCCTGCACACGGGTTCCATCTCCGTGAGATTTACAACTGCCCAACTCTATGAAGAAATCAGGAGAAAGCCCAGCTGTCGTGGAAAGAAGAGAGGCCCTTCTTTTTTGGTACCCACCCTGCTCTGCAGCTCTAGATCATTAGGGCAAGGGAGAGAAGCCCCTCCTCCAATCTAGAGGGGAAACAGGTCCCAAGACAGACATCCAGGGCCTCCTACAGCCCCACTCCAACTTCTCACCTGCCCCTCTGGTCGCCCCACAGAAGAATCCAATGTCGGAGACTCTCGATGGCTCTGGCTCTGGTGACAAGAAAGAGATATCTCATTGAGGTGCTGCCATGCCCCCAAGCATTACTGAGAGAGTTGCAAGAATTCCTCTAGCTACCCCAATGCATGCACAGCTGAGGGAGCCTCCTGGGCCTCTTGAGGATGAGTGCTCCTCCTCCTGTCCCCTCCCATGCAGAAAACAACCTAAGGGCCCCCAAGCTCCCAGAACAACATCCCTCCTCTTCCTTCCCTCTCCCACCTGGTTGTTCAGGAGTTCTCTTTTCTACATCTTTCTGTTCTCGTCCTCTCTCAATGATCTTGAGGCTGAAGACCTCTTGATTTTATTACTTACTTAAGTGTTTGTTCATTTGTTTTTGAGACAAGATCTCTCTATATAGCTCTGGCTGGCCTAGAACTTGCTATGTAGATCAGGCTGGCCTTAAACTCACAGAGATGTTCCTGCCTCTGCCTCTGGATTGCTGGGGTTAAAGGCACATGCCATCACTACATCTGGCACCTCCTGATTCTTGAAGCAACACTCCATTACCACTGTCTACCATTTGGGTTGTCATTCCCACCTCCCAGCAACTGTAGAACCTGTTGGAACCTGCCCCATAGGATGTCCCCCTCTCCTGGGGTTCTCCTTACCCTCCGCTTCCACCTGTAGAACAGGAGGCCCCCAACAGCCAGCAAGACCAGGATGATGCCCGGCACCAGCAGATGGAAGACAAACCCAGAGATCTGGGGGTCAGAGGATCCCCTAGGCAGCTTCTCATGGCCTGTGTCAGTCAAAGGAATGGAGTTAAAATGGGCCACAGGCCTGGCTGCCCCCTCACTTGCTGGTCCTCCTTCCAGCTCTGTGGGGCTCCTTCGATCCCTGGTACTTCTCTTGCCCTCAAGCTCCCCAAGGGGCTGCACAATGCCCCAAGAGTGGCTTCTGGGAAGCAGTGCCTGAGCAAAGGGGGTGGCTGGGTTGCTGAGGCCTTGGGGACCCAGTGTGGAAATGTGGGGAGATCCTGGCTCCTGGTGGTCTCCAGGCGGCATAGATGAACTGTCTGTCTTCTCAGGAGTGTGATTCTGCGTCTGGCCAGTGGGTCTCATAGTGTTCACCTCTGGCAGTGGGGTGCCTGTTTCTGCTGGCTCTTGGTCCTCTGTTGATTTATGGAGTAGAGAAGATGCTGAGAGGTCGCTGGATCTGTCCGTCTCTGCCTGGATGCTGTCTTCTACAGGCTTGGAGGGAGAAAGCTTTGCTTCCTGGGTCAAAAAACCCTCACTAGCCTCTCCAGAAGCTTCTTCTAGGACCCAGTTAGTGCCCGGTGACGAGTCGAGGATGTCTTCCACACCAGGGATAGGAGCCTCTGCAGAAGGATGAGGCTCTGAACCCTCAGTGAGTCCGTCCTCATGGTTCGGGGTCTCTGGTGACTCGAGGCTCTGGCAGGTGCTTCTGGGTGGTCGCTGCTTGGCACTGGCTAGGTCCTCTGTGCGAAGGGGCTGCTCACTGGGCAAGAGGGAATTGCCCTCTCTCCTCTGAGAATCATCCCAAGCCAAGCCAGCCAGAGGGGCCATGGAGGGGACAGGGGGCTGGTGAGGGGAGGTAGAGGCCAGGTCACTGCTAGGGGTGGCTTTAGGGTACAGGCAGTTGCAATCAGGCTTGGTCACCACATCTGAAAGAACCACAGAGAGGGGGAGAGAGAAAGATGGGGAGGAGATAGAGTCACCAGCCTCTAGCACAGCTCCCCCAGAGGGGTAAGAGGGGGTAAGGCCCTGGGGCATGGGAAGGGGACCCTCGTTTTCTAACCCAGCCCTGGGGCTGGAGAGAGGGCAAGACAGCAATAAATGATCACGACACAGAACTCAGGCAGGAGGGAGCGATATGGACAAGGAGGGAGCAGGGTATCATGGGCAGGAACCAACAGCAAGGCACAGACAAACAGAAGAGGGCTGCAGGAAGACCACAGGACAGTGTAAGCCAAGGGTAAGCAGCAGCCGGGCCAGGGGACTGAGCACAAGCTCCTGGATTAACCCAGGACACTTGGAAGCCCCCAAGACACTGGCTTCATGCACAGCCAGGAGCCAACCACCACAGCCACAGCCACAGGCAGAAGGCTGGGGCGGGAAGCAGTCAAAGTTTGGGACTTTGGGACTGAAGCACTAAGGCAGGACTTGAGTATTGTCCCGTTGCAGGACCTCAGCCCCTGCTTTGGGGAGTGAGGCTGAATGGAGGACACATGTGGTACAGGACGCAGAGATGAGGACACGCGGAGTGCACAGGTAGAGAGAGTTTGAACGATGTTCAGACTTCAAATTCAGCCTTATCCCTTGAGGGGACATCCAAGGCATCCTGGGGACTTCTGGAGCCAGGCTGTCCTGGTGTTTTGCAGCAGGGCTCCTGGAGCAAGGACCCTGACTGTCAGATGGAGCACCTGCTCTTTCCACGGAATCCCCATTTATCCAGCCAGTCTGCGGAGCCAAGGCGGGAAGCCACCATGCCTACATGGCTTTCTGAGAAAGGTCCCCTTCCCTCTCACTACCATCACAGCCACCAGCACGAGCCTTCTTGATGCTGCCACATCAAGTGAGGCAGTGAGACAGTACATGCAGGCATGAGTCAGTGTACATGCACACACATGTCAGCAAAGACATGTGCCCGGGACCCTGAGGTACATGAAGCCACGTAAGTACATAAAACACACAGAAACACAGTTAGCAGCCAGGCTGCCTCTGGGATTCCCTAGCCCCTTATCTCACCCTCCATGTAGCTGGCCCCTATGCTTACCTGGGCTGGAGCACTTAGCAAAGCTGTTGTTGCAGTTCTTGCTAAAAATATTCCAGTCCTTTTCAAGGAGAATTTTTGTTTCATTAAAGACATTCTTGATTTTCTCCAGCAGCTGGAGAGGAGTCTCATGGAAAGTTCGGACACAGGCCTAGACGAAGAGCAGAGCCCGTTAGGTAAGCCCGAGCATGGGCCTCCTCTCACTGTTACCTGTTAGATCCAGCTAACACCCATTCAAGTGCCACGTGTGTGGTAATTTACCTGGGCATCATGCAACAAACAAAAGAGAAGTGGTTCCTGGCCAAGCCGGGCACTGAGTGCAGCAGAAACTAGCACTAAACACGTTGTTACAGGAGAGTGTCCTGAGTTATCTGAAGGTGTGTAACAAAAGAGCGCTAAATGAGAGCCCAGGGAGAAGATTGCCAAAGGGACAGCTAAAGGTGAGCAAGGGAAGAGAAGGAGCTGGGGTTAGGAGGATAGACCATGCAAAGGTCCTGGGGCAGGAAAGCATGAAATGCCGAAAGACTGAAAGGCGGCTGGAGTGGCTTCAGTACTGCCACCTAGGAGGAAATTGGCAAGAGATGCAGTTGCAGAGAGTTCTGCCAAGGCCAGGGACTTGTTGACCCTGCCAGGAACTTGTAGTCTTATCTATTGAGCCAATAGGAAACTGAAAATTTGCTCAGAAGGTGGATCATGGTATATATAAGACTTGAATTTTAGAAGAATCATCTTGTTGTGGTATAGAGAACAGACCTGGGGAAGCCAGAGGAGAGGAGCTCCTTGGCTGGTGCCACGTTTTGGAGGAAGTGCCAAGGATGCCCTGGTCTGCCTACTGAGTGGTTTTTCTCTTCTGCAGTGTGTCCAGGTGCTCACATGCACTGCAGCTCTGAGAAGCCACACCCTCTTGGGTTCGTCCCACCTCAGGCCCTGTGCCAGACTGTTCCTTCTAAATACTGCAGTGCCTCAGGGTTCTGCTCTGGGCTCACCTCACCTTTCACAGCAAGCTGTGCTATGTGTGATGACAGTATCATCTACAGCCTATTTCCAGAATGCCAAGTTTCCCTTAAACTTTCTGAGCCACCTATTCAGGGAAGAACAACAGGTTTTCCAAGGCTACTATAAAGTCCTTGATTACATCACTTTGTCTTCCCAGCCTGCCTATAGCAGGCTTGTAATAAACAGTTACTAGACAAATGAATGAAAAGACCCGGGCTCAGCTTCTCCACTCAGCAGCTAGGCACTGCTTTGTTTAGATTCATCTTGTCTGTGACGTCAGGACAATACCCCAGCCTCTCCCAGGAGCTGGTATGGGAGGCCAGCTGGCTCAGTCCTGCATGTATCTTTATAAAGCTCTTTGTCTCAAACCTGACCTTATATGCTGTAAAAGAAACCAGGCATTCTCACCTGGAACCCTGACACCCCAGCTTTCTCAAAATGGAAGTGCCTGCTGGGTTGGGAGCTCAGAATCCTTTTCTGAGTGGTGAGACTGGACTTGGCTCCTTGAGCTTACACTCTGCCTTCTCCCTGAGGCACCCCCCCCACCCCAGCATGCATTGGGTGAATAGTCACCAATCCAAGAGAGTCTGAGGCCTTCTATTTCAACCACTGGTGGGGCAGCTTCTCAAAATGCAGATTCCCAGGCCTGTGGGCCCAGGGAAGTAGAGTCTCTAAGGGTGTATGCTGGGACTCTGTATTTTAATGTTGGGAAAGCATAGATTTAATGCTACATAGTAAAGAACCACCCCTTCCTCAACCAAACAGCCACTCCAGATAATCTGGTTTTCTATTCCCTTTTGGGGGCAAGTTCCTCCACCAGGTGGTCTCTATTTCCTCTCTTCCTTTTCTTCCTAATCTGCCTCCAACAGCAGTCTCCATGTTGCAAATCAAATGGAGCAATGGACCCTTTTCACCCCTCATTGTGTTTGACTTCTCAGCCTCATTTGATAAAGTGCTGGCTCCTTCCGTCTGGAAAGCCTGAGGTGCTGCCCTCCGTTTTCCTCCTACTTCAGGTGCTCTTCATTCAGGGTCCTGGACCTCTTCTCAGTTGTACAGTTCGGTGGCTCCACAATCAGCATCTATGTATCCAGCAGTCACAATCATAACCTCCTGTAGCTGTCTGTCCGTTGTGCCCCACACTAAACTGAGCTCCTCGGCCTGTGGTCATCCTAATTTTGACATCAGTGAACTCTCCAGGGACTCAAGATGAACGCATCCTGACTCACTCTTTCCCCTTCTATCCCGGAAAGCACCAGTCCTATCTGTCTGGGGGATGGTCACTGATAGTCACTTCAGTTTTCCTGCACCACTCTGATCAAGCCACCGCCATCGCTAGCTTGGTTGAGTCTCCTGCTGCTCTCCTGATCTCCATTCTTGCTCTCCATAGCCTACTCTCCAGCCCATCACCACAACAGTCTGACGTCATAAGTGACATTGTATCATTCACTAGTTTATGGTGGCTTCTTTGAGATTTAAGACAAAAAGCCCACATCTTTGACATCCTGAATGATATGCTTCCTGACTTTCCTCTCTGCCCTCCACATCCCATGCCTGGGCCATGCTGAGTCCCTTTGAATCCTTTCTGATCACCCTAGGGCTTCTGACCACCCACCAGCCGTGGCTTACTGCTCTTACTTGTGCCTGAGCTCCGAAGTTGTCTGTCTTAGCCCCTGCCTTCTCTCTTCCCCTCTGCATCCTTGTAAAGTTGGCATTCCCTCTGCACTCTGTCTCAGGTTCCTGTTGCTCTCAGCCATCTACTCAGCTCTCCCCTCCCCTGCTCTACTCTTCTCCAGTGCCGTTATCACCACCATCCATTCACATGCTTGTGTTTTAACTGTCGCAGTACCCTCCCCTCCCCTCCCCTCCCCTCCCCTCCCCTCCCCTCCCCTCCCCTCCCCTCCCCTGTGTCTTCATGATTGTGGGGATCTTTGCTTTCTTTGATCACAGCTACTTCCTGTTGTCCAGAAGAGCACTCGATACACAGTGGTCACTCGATAAGGTTTTGCTAAATGGATGAACAGTCCTTCTGGTTATATTCACAGTGCCATCCATCATTCAACAGCTGCCTACCTCACTTGACTATAAGCTTTGTAAGAGTGGGGACCAGGAATTTCTTGCTCCAAGGATATCATCAGAGTCCAGCACTGTGCCTTCTGTCTAATGAGTGCTTGGTGAAGGTGGATGGAATAAAGAAATGAATGGATGAGAGAGTAATGAGTGAGAGTCAGGCAAGGCAAGCTATGAGGGCAGGGTGGGACCTCCATAGCCTCCCTCTGCCTCTTCCCTGGTGCTCTAGCCCCAGAAGCATCCTACCTTGTTCTGCTCCTCATAATTCATGGTGAAGCAGCTCTTCAGTCTCAGAGAGAGTTCCTGGAGCCGCTCGGTGGCATTGGCATTGGGGGTGTTGTCTTTAAAGCGCATGGTGTCCTCAATTATTTCTTTCACCAGAAAAAAAGCCTTCTTAAGGTAGCAAACGTGATCATCCTGGAATACAGGAAACAGGGCTTAGGGCCTGGCTGAAGTGGCCTGGGAACCCATGCTTTCTATGAGAAGACCACCACCCTAGGCAGATGGAGGGCTGCAGTCTGCCATCCTGTGCTTGTAAGGAGGGACACACCTCCCTGGTGTGAGGATAATGACACCCTTGGCTTGTCTTTTATCTCTTGCTTTAAACCAGCCGTAACTGAGACTTGGGCTAGAGGGAAGGAAAGGTGGGTTCTGATTAGAGAGAGCTTTGGATTTCCTAAATGAGGCTTTGGTCAGGATGGATACACACAGGAAGGGTGAGTTTTAGCCTCTCTGGCCCTCAGCTTTTTCTCTTTTCCTTTCAGCTTACTTTCACAAAAGTCCTTTGCCATATAGCCCCCTCAAGTCCTCCAGAATATAGAGATACTGAGGACTTGAAGAGGCTGTATCCTCCAAGGATACAGTAGTTGGTTCAAAGACAGAAACTCCTTTTATCTCTCTGTCTCTAGTGCCTGATCCAGTAAATAGGTGCCATTGTTCAAGTGCAGGAGTAAGAAAGTGAATGACTGTGGCCCTGTGGCGATGCAGGCCATGGCGTTTTCACAGAGGTGCGTGGGTCTAGTGCATGAGAGCTCAGAGATGGAAGCAATTCTGGACAGACTGGTTGTTCTTCTTGAGGCACACAGATCTCCAGAAAGGTGTGGCACAGGGGACAGTGGGGGGCATGGAAAGGTATGACAGACATCACGAAGAACTTATGCAAAAGCTGGGAAGCAGAATGAAGCAGAGAAGGGAGGTGAGAATATGGTGTGGGTAGGGACTGGAGATTTGGATCTAGACTGCCTTGGGCTCTCTCTTGGAGCCACGGGGTTCCTGACAGAAGTGAAGGCCTTGGGGTTTCAGAGAGCTCCCCCTAGTGGTAAGACGAAGAGTGCCCTAGAATCCGGGAAGTCCCGTTAGGAAGCCCCTGAAGGACGGATGGGGAGGATGGAGGACAGCACCCTAAGGTGCTGCCAGCTTTAGCTGCACTAGGTGGCTGGTTGGTCAGGTGTGGGATAGAAAGCTAGGCTAGACTGCCTTCCTGTCTGTGGTTAGTGGATGGAGGAGTGATCTTCTTTAAAACAAAACATGGTATAACATTCCTGGGTTCAAATTAGTCCTCTATCACTTAACTAGCTATGCTCCTTAATCTCTGTGTGGGTGATAAGACATATTTGTGGACCTCAGAGTGATACTGTTAGAATTAACTGGGGAATGTGCCTAACGTTTAGCAAGCGCCTGATAGATGTCAGGTCAAAGGAAGGAATCAGCAAAGGACTTAAACTCTGGCCCCTGCCCACTGGTACTTGGCACTTGAGTGCCCAGGGCCCCTCACACTCTGATACTGTCCTGCTCTAGGTTTTCTGCTGCCTTCAGGCTGCCCCATGCGACCACCCTGGGGGCAGGCAGTGAGTGCTCACTACACACCTGGCCTTGCAAACACTTGCTACTTACCAGCTGTTCCTGGTCTACAAATTCAAAGGCAATCTGGCATGAGGTTTCCATTTGGCTGTCGATCTGTGAGACAGAACAGACCAATGATTACATGGTACCTATAGGTCAGCTCAGCTTCAGAATGGGACCCTGGTTTGGGGGTGAGTGAGGTTTTAATTTTATCTACCTCCCTAAGACAATGCTGGAAAGACAGCCACAGCTAGGGGATAGTTGTGTCTTCCAAATGTCCAGAGGGATTAAAACAAAACAAACAAACAAAACCCCTTATACTTTGATCTATAAAATCACACATCCAGTCTGTTATAAGGAAGAATTATCTTTAGGAAAATATAGGATGTAATCTTTTCTGGGAGGGGGTCAGCACCCTATCATGAAAAGAGCTCAAGCGGAGTCCAGCCAAGCTCTGGGGAGTCTGGATCTCTAGCCTCAGCTCTCCCTGGAGCAAGTTCTAAATCTCGGAGAACACCATGGCACTCATGCACCTTGGCCTGCCACGGGAGCTGCATATAAAAAAAGAGTGGTATTGAGGAGGGAGGTTGGAAACTTCAGCTCCGGGGCCAAGTTCAGGGTTCTGAGCTGACTTTACCCATTGGTGCTCCACCCTGTTGATAAATTCTTTACTGAGAGGGGCAGAGGCCATGACAACAACTGGATCCTGACTGGATGGATGGCATTTAGAATTGTTGATGGTTCGGTTGACCCTATTAGAATCAGAGCTGGGTTTCTTTATGGCCCAGATGAGCAGGACACCCCAACCCCAGGGGCAAGGGTCAGGAAGTGAAGGTAGAAGGCTGGGAGTTAGGCTGGAGCCTCCCATCTAAATTTGGGTGGGGCCCTGGTGCCAGGCTGTCAGGGGATCTGGCTATCCAGGAGCTGGATAAACCATCTGGACCCAGCAGGGAGACTGGGCTGACTTCCCAAAGGAGGCGTTCTCTGAGTCAGAGCAGGGTTACGGAGCCTTTTAGAATCCATAGTGGACATTCCTGGACTACCATTAACTCAGGCAACCAATCGGAAGCCCACCCTACCCACTGCCTATAAGGGACCCAAGGCTTCAGGGTTAGTGGGAAACCCAAGGTCCCCACCTTGAGAAGATCAGTGAGAGAAGTATCAGAATAGCGATGATCCAGATAGCTTTATTTCCTGCAAACCTTCTCTTTGACTCAGCCTTCCGGATGCTACCTCAGTTTCCTCAGTGAGGAGAAGGAATGGTCTCATACTCACCAGCTGCTGCAGGACCTGCAGGTGTCCATTCCCAATCATGTGGCTACAGTGTTCTGACACGTCCTTGGCAATGCTCCTGCTCACCAGGAGACAGACCAGCAGCAGCCGGGGGCCCAGCCATGTCTATGACAGAAGGGAGTCATGTCTCTCCAGTGCTTCTTCTCCTCAGCTACCCCCATGTCCCACAAAGGACAGAAAACAAAGCCCTATTCCCATAATACCTCACACCTCAGGATGCAGCACTCTCCAACTTAGATTTCTCATCAGCCAGGGCACCGCCTTGCTCTTCCCTTGATAATAAACCAAACACCGCCATCTTCCCCAAGAAGTCTTCCCAGGTTAACCCAGGCCAGCCCAACAACACAGAACCTTAGTGGGGGCGGGTGTTGAAACAGGGTTTCTCTGTGTAGCCTTGCCTCTCCTGGAACTCAATCTGTAGGCCAGGCTGGCTTCAAACTCACAGAGATCCACCTGCCTCTGCCTCTGCTGGGATTAAAGGTGGGTGTCACCACTGTCCAGCTCACAGAACTTTTTTTTTTTTAAACAATTTAGAAAGGCTTATTTAGTTCTGTGTTTTTGAATGTTTTACATGCATGCATGTATGCCTACCATATGCATGCTTCTTGGAATCCCCTGGAACTGGAGGTATGAATGGTTGTGAGCCACCATGTGGGCGCTGGGAATTGAACCTGGGGCCACTGCAAGAGCAGCAAGTGTTCTTAAATGCCGAGCCATCTCTCTAGCCTACAGAGAACTTCTAATGATAATACTAGTGCTGTGCCAATCTGTGTAAGTTAAGTGACTGGGAAACTCCTCGAGGGTAGGGTCTTCTGTCCTTTCAGCTTTAACGCTGAGACAAATCCCTTGTATGCTGGCTTCAGGTTTGTGGTCAAATGCTAATATTCAGACTACAAGCAGAAACATTATCCCTGGGTCCTGCCTTCCTTCCCACCTGGGTCCACAGGTCTGGCTCGACAGAGGGAAACACTGGGACCAAACTCCATTTCACTGGGAAGTCAACCCAAGTGGAGACCTCCTGGAGCCTTGGACTTGCATTTCGAGAAGAGTCCAACTGACTAATCAGAGACAGTGGTGTGTTTGACTGCTGACATCTGCCTGTCTGAGACCCATCGGGCAGTTCATCTAGTAAACAAACCCTTGCCACCGCAAAGCTCTCTCCTTTTTGTCCACACCCACCTGGCCCAGCAGTGGCTCATTCCTAGAGAAACAGGGTTGACTCCTGACACCTGACTTGGTCCTTCCTTTCTCCTTTCTTCCTTTCTCCTCCCCAAGATCCTTTCATCCCACCGGCTCCAATAGGACATCCCAGGAGATACCAGTCTGAGGCAGAGGGGCTCTTGGGCTTCCCTTCCCTGGTCTAAGACTGCCTCCCAGGAGCTCCTGAGCATCCTGGCAGCTGCTGTCCCCCAATTCGGGGAAATGCTGGCAGGGTGGAGTGATGGCTGGCACCTTCCTAGATCTGGGCTCTGCCCCAATAGTCCAGATGATGAGACAAATGCTGTAAATAGGAGCACATTGAAAAAACACAGGGAGGCTATGAACCAGTCCACAACAACACTGGTTTACATCTCAAAGCCCAAAGCCTCGTCAGTTCACACCAGGGAGGAAAAGCAGCATTGGCCAGGCAGTGAGGAGGGAAGAGGGGCTTCAGTGAGGCCTTAAAGGGTGGCAGACAGAGATGCACAGGGTCCTGGCCTGACCTCAGAGGGAGAGTGTGGAAGAAGGTGCACACAGCCATGGGATGATACTGTGCTGGGCACTGTTGGGCGATTGGAAAGTTAGCCCTGAATAGCATCCAGCTCTTTAGAACTTCACACTTAGGACCTGGAAAAGGAAACGAGTGTGCAGAAGATTACAGGCTCAAGCTGGTTGTCACCCAGGCTGCCAGCTAATGATGTGTATGGTATGCAGGAAAGGACCTGGGCATGGAGATGTTCAGGAAGACCTCAATCCTGGCACTTCAAGGCATTGATGTTTGAGGATAGCAAGGTGAAGACATTACCTCAGGGATACCTGGCTTTTGGTGGCATTTCAAGCATTCACAGAAATAATGTACAGCTACCAGATGAGAGGCTAACTTCAAAGATGACCAAAGGGGACCACTCCTTGATCTGTAACCCTAGTGCTATAAAGGGTTAATGCTCTAGCTTACATCTGGCTGGACAGGCTCTTCCTGGCTTGCTTCTTCCTCCCGCCCACTGCCTCAGCCTCTGACTATGGGAGCAGCCCTGGAAGGAAACCGCTGCAGTCTCAGAATGCTTCAAGACATCACGTTCCATTTCCCAATCAGTAAGCAGAAACCTGGCATGATTGGACCCTCCGACTGATCTTGTCTGATTCTGGCCTTCTTTCCTCTTGTTTTCCCAACTTGTTAGCCCTTCTTTTTGCTTGTTGATTCTGTTATAACTCTTCTTTCCTTCTCCTCCTAACCCCATCGCCTCCCTCAGCTGGGCCCTCCCTCCCTGTGGATCTACTTTTCTCTCTCAAACACCTGCAACTCTCTCCTGCCCATCAAATGTTATGCTCCTGCTCTCTAGACTTTTCCTCTCATTCTCCTCAGAAGCAAACCCACTTGCTGTTCATTGAAAGTGCCACCCTGCACTCCCTAGGAGCCACAGCATCATCTGCTGCCACTTTGGGGGAAACTTCTAGCAGCCCACCAGCAGCTCTGCAGCTGTGAACTCCCATTCTACTCTCCTCAGTTAGCAGCTGAGCCCAGAATAGCCCCTTCCCATTGAACCAAATTCTCCAAGAAAAGAAGATTCAGGGTTAGCTTCAGGCCATCCCTGGGGTCCCATTCCCCTCAAACAGTCACCCAAGTCCCTAACAGCTCCTGTCCATAGGCTGGAGCAAGTAGCAGCATGCCCTTCTCTTTTCTTCTGACAACAGGTTGCTCAGCACAGGTCCTGGCATTCTAAAGCTGAGTGACCCTAAATTTTCCCTACCCAGAAGGCCCACTCCCAATTAGGGCCTAGAAACATGTGCAACAGTCAAAGGAAGATGCCTACTGGGGATGATGCCACACTCGGGTCTCTGACACTCGGTACCTGGAAACCGGTTGCTCATCCTGGCAGACACTGGGCCTGTGCCAATTGCTGTGAACCTCTCTCTCCTGCCTGTGGGTGGCTCAATTTTCTCCTCCGTTCAATGGGGGTGAGCAACCTTCCCTTTACCCTGCAAAGCGCCGTAAGCCCCAGGAGCAGCTGCTGAACTACAGCGGGCCTCAACCCTAGCGCAGAAGCTGTTAGGAAGCCGGAGCCCAGGGCCGAGACGCCTGAGCGGCTGGCGTGCAGGGGCTGTCCGCTCGCTCGAGGGGCCGCGCCGAGCTGCCTGCTGCTGCAGAACTCCCGCCCTAGCCCGCCCGGGCCCCGCAGCGCGGTCGCAGCTTACCGATGAAGGGCAGCGCCCCGCGGCGCCCCGCGCGGTCATACGGGCAGCTGGGTCCCGGCCCGGCGTGTTGGCCGCCCTAGTTCGCTCGCTCCCTCGCTCACTGCTGGCTGGAGAGCCTGCGCCCCGGCGAGGGCCACGCCGCTGTCCCGGGATGCAGAAAGCAGCGGCGACACGGAGGACACCGAGGCGAACTTTCACTTTCCTCTGGCCGAGCTTCGCTGGCCAGCTCTCGGCACAGCCTTTTAAGCGCGGGCGGGCTGGCGGGGCATGTGGTTTATGGGAAATCACCCTGGCCCTCCGCCAGACACACACACACACAAACACACGCTCACACTCACAAGCACTGACACATACACCCTGGAGGCCCACTGAGCCGTCGCCTCCCTTCCCCCAAGCGGGCCGCCTGGTCGTCCCCGCTAGCTAGCTCTCTTCCCAGTCGCGCTGTGGCTGCGCTAGCTCCGCAGTCTTCAGCAAAGTAACCAGGGCTCCACCGCCCTCCCCCTCCCTTCTCGAGGTCTGGACAAGACACAGCCTTTTCTTCTGTGCTCTCCACTCATGTCAATCTCATGTGATTGCCTTCTTTCTAATGCTGGTCCCTAGGGACTTTCCCTGCAGTCCCGAAAATCCTTAAATCTGAGCAGGAAATGGACAGGGTGCATTGAGAATGACCTGAAGGGGGATGACCCAACCATGGCCTCTCTGCTGCAGCTTCATTCAACATCCTCACGGAGCCCAAGGCAGCGGGTTTGCAGGTTGGCTTGCTCCTTCCTACGCACGCAGGCACGCTTCAAGGAATCTGCTAAACATCCTGCCCCCTGGTTGTGGGGAAAAGTGGGAAGCAGGGTACAGCCTGGCAATCCAGCTACCTGGCCAGGAGAGGAGGGGCCTGTTCTGTGACAGCTAGCTGAGTGGTTCTCTACTTCAGGTGCTTGACCCATGAATGATGCAAAGGCAGGCTGGTCCCCTGTTCCTGGACTGCCGAACCCAGCTGAGGTGGAAAGGCTAGTGCACCCGGGCCCTAGATTTCCCTCCAAGCCTTTGGAGATGCATTATGGAGACAATCACATTTTGTCTGTACATGAGAATGAATCTAAGTGAATCAGGAGGAGTCTATTAATTATACTGCCAACATCAGGATCTTTTTCCTTCTTCTGTTCATTGTGATTCAATGTCTTTCAATCCCTCCATATCTCCCCCATCTCTGGAGTGGCCTGGTCTCAAAGAGGCATTTTTGGTCACTTGGCCACATATCTCTCTAGTTCCGAGCAATAATTTTACTCTCACATGGTTTTTTCTCAGGCTAGTTCCTCTGACATGAAGGCTTCTTTCCCCCATCAATCTTAAGGTGAATGCCTCGTTTTTTAAGGTTGTAATCACATCTCACCCTCCTTTTGCAAAGCCTTCTGGGATGCCCCAGGCCGATGGATAGTTCTTTTTTTCCTGTGTTCTCACTGGACTCAACCCATTCTTTCCCCATAAGTTGGCATTCATTCATTCTCTACATTACTTTAAACCAGTGGTTCTCAACCTGTGGGTCGCTATCCCCTTGGGGGTCACATATCAGATATCTTGCATATTAGATATTTACATTACGATTCATAACAGTAGCAAAATTACATTATGACGTAGCAATGGAATAGTTTATGGTTTGGGGTCACCACAACATGAGGAACTATTAAAGAAGATTGAGAATTGTATTAGGAAGGTTGAGAACCACTGCAGTATTTCAGGTGATACTGGTTGTTACATTTAGCCTGCACCCTGAGACTGAGACTTCCTCTAGGTGGCACCCCATTTTACTTACCTCTGAACTGACGGCCATAGCACATAATAGGAATTCAGTTAACTGGGCAGATGGAATGAAGGATAAGTCATCTGACAAATGTTCACTGCTACTACAGGCCAGGCCACGTGCTGGACCCTGGGGGTGTAACAATGAACATGACGGTATGGCCCCTACTCATTCTCATGGGTTTGTGAGCCATTGGAAGCTGAGGGGCTGGGGTAGTGACTAGTACTCAGGACCTCCTGGAGGAATGCAGAGACATGGTCAAGGCTTGGGGGAATAGGAGATATGGTTAAGGCTTGGGGAATGTTCTTTTAAGTGGTCTGGAACAATAAAGATTTAACCACATTTCTGGCTGGGTGTTGGTGGCGCACACCTTTAATCCCAGCACCTGAGAGGCAGAGCCAGGTGGACTTCTGTGAGTTCGAGACCAGCCTGGTCTACAGAGCTAGATCCAGGACAGGCACCAAAACTACATGGAGAAACCCTGCCCTGAAACCACCCCCCACTCCCCCCCACAAAAAGACTTAACTACTTTTCTTAAGACAAGAAGCTAGAGGAAGTCGTGTAAGCATGATAAGCCTGCAGAGTTGTTGAGAAGAGGGTCAAATTTTACTGGTTCCATCCTCCTTTATGAACTAGGTTCTGCCTCGGGCTCATGGAGCTTGGAGTTAGAGCTAAGCTGATTCTGGAAGAGTGCATGCATCTTCTTCATCAGCACAATGACAAGCTCAGCCATCCATCATGTTAGTACAAGGCATGGAATCCCCCTCCCCACTCTACTGAAACCCTTCACGTATTAGGGTTTGAACCTGATCCCACCACTTAGAAGCTATTTGCTCTTGACAGCTCTGTCCAGTCCTTTGCTGTGTGGCTATACATCTTTTGGCCTCAATGCTTATAAAATAGAACCATTGATTTCCCTTTCATCAAATTGTTAGACAACTGAAAGAGACAGTGCCTCGTGTGTGTGTGTGTGTGTGTGTGTGTGTGTGTGTGTGTGTGTGTGTGTGATAGCATTTGTGTAGGAGTCAGAGGACAACTAGTGGAAGTTGAGTCTCTTTCCACTGTGCAGGCCCCAGGGATTAAAGTCATCAGCCTTGGCAGCAGACATCTTTAACCACTGACCATCTCACCATCTCCCATTTTATTATTATTTTTTTATTCTCTGTTTATTCTCTAGCAATGACACAACAATGGTGTTGTGGACTTGGAAATCTCAGTGCCAGAATTTTCTCTCACCTCTACCACTCACTTGCTGTGTAACTGTAGGCAAGTCTCATCTCCTTTCTGTTCTTTTTGCCCAAAGGCAATGATAAGATCTCTGTTCATGTGGAGTTGTAGAGGGATGTACATCCACAATAGGACTTGTATCTACCTTATTTGTGTTGCTTTAAAATAAGACATTGTGCCTTTTAGTGGCCAGACAAGCTTTACCTCTATGCACAAGCAAGTCACGTGTGGAAGAGCTAATGGATGATGTGTTTGAAGTGGCTGCTCCAAGTAGTCTCCTCTGACCACCCAAAGGGACTACTGATTCTAGTACCTCCTCCTCTGCCTGATTGCCCGGGTCAAACCCTTAGGAATGTGTCCGGTGGATCCACACAGGCCAATGTGAGCCCATCCATGCAAGGGAAATGATGGAATCACAAATTTGAAACCTTTTTTTTTTTTTTTAAATCCCTGTGCTGTTTTAGATGGAGACCCAGACAAGCTAAGCTACCTCTTCCAGAGTCACACAAGAATTATTGTAGTCTGGGATGGGGACGTTGCGGGTGAAGTCTGGAATGAGAAGACTCTAAGCTCCATGCAGTTGATCAGACCATCTGCCGTCTTCCCTGCTGACTACTGGTAGAGTCATGTCCGGAGCCAGGTCCTGGGGGAGGGAGAGAGGAATTTGGCACTATCTGAGATTTGGGGTTCCGTAATTTCCAAAATGCAGCATCACTAAGGAGGCTTTACTCAGATGACTCGGGGGAGGACAGAGGGAGTTTGGGAGAGACCCTCCTTGCTAGAGAAATGAGCCAAGGGAAGGGAGGCTGATTGGAAAGAGAAATGGAGATGGATGGCAGGAAATGGGAGGAAACCTCGTTTGTAGATTGTTCTAAAACTATTTGTCAGGCAATTTCCTCTGGAAATCTTTCTAGCGAATAGACTTCTGTCATACAGGGTGCCCCCCATCTCTGTACTTCTCTTCTTTTTTCCATCCTTTCTCCCTCCTCCTTTCTACAAAAATGGGTCCATGGAAGTGGACCAGAGTAGGTATTAGAACCTGGGGTTGTACAATGCTGTTCTGTGTCTCAGTGTTTTTGGCAAAGTACTGCATGAAGGTCAGAGTGTGTTAGACAACCCCCTTCCCACCAGGTTAACCAGGTTAGGAAAGTGGAAGTTCCCATGTGGAGTACGGTGCTGCCAGCTGCCCTTTAAATGGCACCTCCCATTTTCATAAGAGGTTAGCTGGAAGGGGGGCAGAGCAGCTATAGTGGAGGGACCCTTAGGACCAAGTTCTCCATCACTTAAATGGGAATGGTAGCTTCCAACTTTCTGGTGCTTAGGGCTACAGTGTAGATTTTGAATTTGAAAACTAGCAAGAGTCAGTAGTTAATATCTGGGGAAGCTACCGATGTTTGCCTAGCCCACCCCTCCCCACTGGGAGAAAACCAGCTGTCATTGCCGAAGGCTGTGCTGGCTTCCAGCTCATGCTGCAGGAGCCTTGCCCCAGGAGGGCACCTTCTCGGAGGGCTGTCTGTTCATCAGCCTGGCTGTTCCCCCGAGGCTGCAGGTTCCTGCCCCTGCCTGGATTTGTCTCCAGAACTCCTAAGAGCTGATAAATCTAAACCCAAAAAATTAAGACACAGTTTCTCTACAGTCCTATTTGGGTTTATCCAGTGCCCTCCTCATAGCTTAAAGTCAAAAACCCCAACAGAGGAACCTTCTTGAAAGTTTCTAACCTTCTTTGGAAAAAGAGAATCACCAAGAGGAAGGCATGTTTTCTAGTGTCGAGGCCATGCAACAAGCTTGCTTCATATTCCTGGCCTTGGGTGGCTTCAGAGCAAACGAAGCGGAGAATTACCTGGAATGAGGACATAAGGAACTTGTCTACTAATGCAATAAACATTTCTGAGTGCCTGCCGTGTGCTGGCCTGTGCTTGTTCGTGACCAGGTGAATTATATGCCCTTCCTGCTTACAGGCTACTAGAGACAGACGTGTCAAAGGGGGGCAGTTTCACAAGAGGCAATGATGGTGGAAAAAGCGTCCCAGTGTCCACAGTTATACAGTGTAACCAGAAACCTGCAACAGAGCAGAGACTGAGACCTGGAAGAGACAAGTCCAGAGACAGCCAGGGGCACACATCTCCCTTTTATCTGTTTATATGATTTCCTTGCCTTGGTTCTCCTAGGCTGGTTTGCTCATTGTTAAGTAGGAGAATCAAGAAGAGGATTCCCCATGTGAAGCTGGGCTGAGAGGAACTGGGAAAATGAGAGACAGAAGACACCTTCTTAGGATTGCCCCATATGAGGGCTAGGAGATCCCCATTCTAACCTGTTCATCTCTGTGGTTTCCCTGGCCAGTCAGCCCTTGGGCCTTCAGCCAGCTGAAAAAAAAAAAATCATTCTGTTTGCTGGTGCTGGGCATCTCTCCCCGGATGAAAAGGAAATGTCCTAACATTCCTCGGATGTAGAATTTGGCAGGGGAGACCATTAGCTGTGCAGTCAGCATGCCTGGGTTAAAATCTCACCCTACGCTAGCTCTGTATGACCCCGAACGTGCACGTCCTTTCTCTGTCCCGGTTTCCCCATTACCAATAGCACCTTCCTTATGAAGCTGCTGTGAGGCTCAGTTGAGTTATCTGCACAGTGTCCCAATATCTCTGGGACTATAGGAAGTCCAGTAAGGCAGAGCTATCACGACTCACGGGCTGATGAGGCTAAAAGGGTACAACATCTGCTGTCCAAGCAGGGCCACCCTGGGCTCCGCTAAAGGAGGATTCTGGAGTGGCCCCACCAGGGAATAGACTAACAT